GGTTCGTTTTAAAAAAGAAGTACCCGGGTTTTAAAGAAAAAATGTGGGGGGGCCCACAACCCCCAAAAGAGGATAAGGGGGGAGGGTTCTTTTTTTGGGGAAGATTTTGCGAGGAGTTTTTGGGTTTTTTTCGACTTTTTTTTTTTTTTTATTAAAAGGGGGCCCCCCCCCCCCCCCAGCAGAAGCTCTCTCCCTGTGGGGGTTCTGGGCATTTTTGTAAAAACAGCAGGTGTAAGTAGCATGTTTTCCAAGGGGGGGGAGATTTTTTGGTGGACCCCAAAATCAGTGGTTTCACGGGGGGGCCTTTTTATTGCCACCGGGGCTTAAAGACCCGGAAAACACAAGGGGGTGGAGGGTCCGTTTATCCCCGACCCCATTTTGGAGGGGGGCCCATTGCTAAAAACCCCCCCACCAGGTCCAAAGCCTTCCCCGCTGGGGGGGGGGGGGGCCCCCCCCCCCCCCAGCAGCAGCGTTTTGCTGCAGGGGGGGTCAGGCCCCCCCCCCAGCAGCAACGCTCTGCTGCTGCTGGGGGGGTCAGACCCCCCCCCTAGCAGCAGGGATGGCTTTAGATGTGCAGGGGGGGTACCGAGCAATGTGCGGCCGCTCAAAAGGCGCCTGGAGCGAACCGCGGTCCGGTCGCGCCACCGCGGCTGCGGGGTTGAGCAGGCCGGCTGCGGCTCCTGATGTACCTCCGCTTTTGGGTGGCGGTGCGCGCGCTGCCGACGGCGCTCGCCGGCGCTTGCGGCGCTACGGCGCTCGGGGCGCCCTCGTGGCGTTCAGGGCGGCTCCACAGCTCCACGCGCGCGCGCGCGCGCACACGCACGCACACACACACACACACACACACACACACACACACATGCATGCATGCATGCATGCATGCACAGACACACAGCACCTTCCCCTCCCCCCTCAAGACCTTCCCAAGGGGGCGAGGACACGCGCAGGCCGCACCTCTAGTGAGGCCCGCATAGTATGTGGGAGACTCGTGCCGCCGCCCCTGCCACCCCTGTGTCAGTGTGCCTGTGGTAGCGAGAGACTGCCAGCGAGAAGCTGGAGGCAGGTCGCTAGACTGAGATGAGACCCCGCCAGTGGAGTTGGGATTCCACCGTGCACCGCGCTGCGAGCCTGTCGTGTCCCTTGTCAGGAGCAGGAGAGCCCCACCTGTCCCCCTGATCGTCCTTCCAAAATCCTGCTCGTGCAGGTGGGGATCCTGTCCTCCTCCCCTATCCCTCGTTTGGGTTGTTTGTTTCTTTCTTTTCTCCCAAAAACAAAAATCAATTTCCCAACTCCCTCTCACGACACTGCCCAATGTAACCGCGAGAACTTAAAAAAAAAGTGGCCGTTCGAGCGATTGCCATGTCCGCCTTGCGTTTGTTTCATCACATCGAAGGCTAAGCTCAAAAAAATTAAGAATTTTACAATTCCCACGACACTGGGCGCGGGACTGGCGCGCACTGGCACAATCTAATTTAAGAAAAACAATTCGACGAAGTTCCAAGTCGCAAGTGCTCCAAGTTCCCCCGCACGACACTGCGCACTTGACTTTCTTTTCTACTTGAACGGAGTGGCTTAGGCGGCTCCGGTGGTGTGCCGGTGTGTGTGTGCCAGTCCGCGCCAGTCCGCGCCCTTCTTATGCCAGTGTGCTGTGTCCTGTGAGAGAGGCCCGCTGATGGAGGAAAATTGTAAATTCTTTCACTTGCTGTCTGCTGTGAGAGGGAGTGGCACAAATTTAACGTATAGAGTGTGTGTGTCAAGTTTCGAAGTACGTGCTGGGACACCGTCTGACGTCTGTCCGCGTCTCACACCGAATTGGTCTCGGGCTGGGAGCCTCACACGTCGAGGAGGTCCCAGTCGAGCTGACTGGCGTGATCGTTGATGAACTGCTTTCGCGGCCCGATGTTGGAGCCCATAAGCACGGAGAATATACGGTCCGCCTGCACCGCGTCCTCCACCGTCACCTACGAACATGCGTCATGGCCGCGTCATGGACAAGCCCCGGGCAAGCGTCTCGGAGGGCCGCCGCCGCCACCCGCT